AATAATTTGTGCCCCGAGAGTACATAGGACCATGTGGAGTGTAGATCTCGGTGGTCGGAGTGTGAGTAGAAAAGCTGGCCTTCTACAACAAGCCTCGGATCATGGCAACCTGCGGCTCTAAGGGCAGCCCCATCAACTTGTGTCAGATGATGGCATGTGTGGGCCAGCAGAATGTGGGTGGCCAACGGATCAAGGAGACAGCCGAGACGCCCACACCACTGAGACAAATGCATTCTGACGGCCTCCAACCTAAGAGCGATTGGCCTCCGACAATGCGTCAGAATGTGTGTTTTGCATGTCTTTGCATTTCATTTCATGTTTCGCTTTACTTTCACATTCACCGAGCCGGAGAGGTCTGGTGGTATGTCGACTGACTCCGCGTATGACTCGTGACTCGTGACCTCTCGTGACTCGCACGGTAGACGTAAATGGCCACGGCCGTCGCTCTCGACAGGACGGCTTCGTCAATCGCACCTTGCCTCACTTTGCCAAAGGCTCTCGAGAGCCCAAGGCCCGTGGATTCGTGGCCAACAGTTTCTACAGTGGCTTGGAGCCGCCGGAGTTCTTCTTCCACACCATGGGCGGACGAGAAGGTCTGGTAGATACCGCTGTGAAGACTGCGGAGACAGGATACATGTGCCCTGGAGTGAAGGAGAAACAAGGTAGGGCGGAAGAACGTTGCTGGTTTGGTCATGTTGGGCCCAATCAATAGAAGAGACCTCGATATTTTGAAGAAGCAAGTGCTTCTTCGATTCAGTAGGATTTAGGTTGAAGGATGGGAAGTAAGTGACAGTTGGATCGAAGTGAGGCAGCGACGCTTGATGAAAGCCTTAGAAGACTTGGCATTGAAATACGACATGACGGTTCGCACCTCCAACAGTGATGTGGTGCAGTTCTCCTTCGGCGATGTGGGGTGCCTCAGACACAGTAATATGGGAGAATGAGACACAGCATCGCTGTGACAAAAAGACAACCAGCTTCAAGATAGTCTTCATAAATTGATAACATGACTCACCTTTTGGGGCCCTCGTCCCCAAACAACTTACTTCAGTTTCGAGCTTGCATTGCTTTGCGCGAGGATGGGTTGAATCCGGCCAAAATGGAAGGCTCGGCATCAAAGCCATTGGACTTCGAGTCCGGGTGGCCCAGTGGAGCTTTGCGTAGGCAGTTGGTGCAGTTGGCCAAGGCTTGGAGTCCATACTCTCAAGGTCTACAGTGATAACCTTCTAGCAATGGCCTCCAACCTGATAGCGATGGCCTCCAACCTACTAGCCATGGCCTCCAACCTACTAGCGATGGCCTCCAACCTACTAGCCATGGCCTCCAACCTACTAGCC